CAATAAACTACTCAGAAAAAGGCAGAAGTGGTGCTGTGGCTCAAGTGGTAGAGTGCTAGACTGGAGCACAGAGCCTCAGGGACAATGCCCAGGCCCTGAGCTCAAGCTCCAGGACTGGCAAAAAAGATGCTAATAGGAAATATTCATATCTAACTACACAACATTCCTGTGACCTCAGAACTTTGCCATTGTTTGAGATTAATACTAAGTTCTTTGGACAATGTTGGGTGGCCATCTTGTTTGCTGTTGCCAGTTAATTGGTCTACGTCAGCGAGGTGTGTTCACTAAGCAGGAGGGGAGAACCACAGTGAGTGATGGGAACCAATGAGAGGACCTCTCTTGGCCCTACGTTCCAGAGCAGAGGATTTTCCCTATTTATTTGGCAGCTTCCACCAGCCCATCTTTATAGATGGGTGAATGCCTGAACACTATGGGCTCACACTTATAATCCTAGCTACTCAACAGGCTATGAGGATTATAGTTCAAAGCCAGCCTGGGCCGAAGTCTGTGAGACTCTCATCCACAATTAACCACCAAAAGGCCAGAAGTGGAGGTGCAATTCAAGGAGTGGTAGAGCACCACCAGCTAAAGGACAGCACAGGCCCTGAGCTCAAGCCCCAGTGTCACACCTACATACACACCCAAACTCATACAAAAAGAGTGATGTCCTAAAGTGCAGTGTCCACTAAAACTCGTGCCACTGTTTAGCATTATTCTCTTGCCAGGAAGATTTAGTATCATCTGCCTGTGTCCCAAAGGAAGGAGTCTAATCCATGGCCAACGTATGCATCATCCCTCATTTGTTCTGGTGCATCTTGATCACTGGCATCCCTGTGGACTCGTGGACTTAGATGAAGGTTTGCCTGACCGTGGCTTTGGAGCCAGAATATTCCTGCTTCAGTTTGGACCTAGCATCATGTCCTCCAAGGCCCACCTGTCAGAGTCTTGGTCTCCAGTCTGTGGGGCTATTGGCAGGTGGTGAACGCTTTTAAACCACAACATGGGGTCTTCCAGTTTGGAGAGCTAGGTCTTTGACTGGGACTGGGGAACACAGGCTCTTCTACATAGGAGAGGGAACAGCTTTACTCTATCACTTGCTCCTGACATGATGTGCTGCCTTTCCTCGGGCCTCCACACAAGGAGCTGATCCTGGATAGAACCTGTGAGCCTAAATAAACTCCCTGGTTTTGAAGTCAGTCATCTTAGGCATTAGCTAATTAACATATCTTCCGATCAGGACATTTCACAGACTCTAAGGCATGCAGGATCATATTCATTCATTCATTCACTCAATAAGCAGGACAAGTCACTCTGGATCAGTTCCATACTTCCCATCTGCTTTACTGCTCATCATTATCATGCTACAATTAAATTTCCTTTTTTTGGAGGGGGGGGGGTTGGTCGTGGGGTTTGAACTCTGGGCTTGGGTGCTGTCCTTGCAGTCTTCAGCTCAAGATGAGAGCACTCAACCATTTGAGCCACAGCGCCACTTCCAGCTTTCTGGTGGTTTATTGGAGCTAAGAGTCTCATGGATTTCCTGCCCGGGATAGCTTTGAACCGTTATCCTTAGAGCTCAGCCTCCTAAGTAGCTAGGATTACAGGCATGAGCCACGGGTGCCCCGCTTACAATTAATTTTTTAAAATAAGTTTTTATTGTGAAAATACTGTAGAGGGGTTACACAAGCAAGGTAATGAGTACATTTCTTATCAAGCATCGTTGCCTCCTTCTTTGTTTTTTCCCTACCATCCCTTCCCTCCCACCTTACAATTAATTTTTGTTATTGTTGTTGGTTGTGGGGCCTGAACTCTGGGCCTGGATGCTGTCCCTCAGCTCTTCAGCTAAAGTTGAAGGCTCTACCACTTGAGCCACAGTGCTTCTTCCAGCTTTTTCTGCTTATGTGGTGCTGAGAAATTGAACCCAGGGCCTTATGCATGCAAGGCAAGCGCTCTACCACTGAGCCACCTTCCCAGCCTATTAAAATTAATTTTTACAAGGAAAAATAATGCTTTCCACAGAGCCTAGCATACACTAAGTATATAAGGAAGGTTGCATCTCTTCCTTTCTCATTCCAGGTGCTCAAGTTTTTCATTTCAATGTCTTGGCCCAGAAGTAGGTAATTAAACTATACTAGCTCAGTATCAAATTTATTCACTCAAAATTGTGCAAGTGCAAATGAAGCAATTTAATTTTTATGATAGAGAAAATTTTTGAGGAAAACTTGGAGTTTTTTGCCTTTTCTTCTCTTAGGAGACCAGGACTTGAACTTGGTACCTGACACTTGGCTCATTGGCTGGCACTCTACCAACTGAGCCACGCCCCAAAGCCCAAGTTCAGGTCTTCATATGAATATTGAAATATTCAATATTTCATTTCAGTAAGTGTTGCTTAGTGCGAGTACCAAACATCAAGGATGAGCTTCTGGAATGGAGATAACATTCCTGTCATCAAAGTCAGAAGCAGACACTTGACTACAGTTGCTCATTTTGTGCCAGTACTGGGGCTTGAACTCAGTGCCTGGACTAATTTCCCTTAGCATTTTTGTTCAAGGCTGGAGTTCAACCATTGGAGCAACAGCTCCACTTCTGGCTTTTTGAAGATAGGAGGAGTCTCGTGGACTTTTCTGCTCTGGCTGGCTTTGAACTGCAATCCTCAGATCTCAGCCTCTGGAGCAGCTAGGATTCCAGGTGTAAGCCAGCAGCACCTGGCTTTCATTTTGACCTTTTGATGGTGATTGCAATTATATTACTGAACTGAAGAATACTGACGACCTCCCTGACTATAAAGGAGCAGAAGGTCAAACACAATTTAATGCCAATTTCAAAACATCCTCCTCTTATCCTTACCAAAATATTTCTAATGGGATCTGTAATACAACACTGTAATCCTAGCTACTCAGGAGGATAAGATCTGAGGATCGCAGTTCAAAGCCAGCCCGGGCAGGAAATTTTGTCAGAGTCTTATCTCCAATAAATCACCAGAAAACCAGAAGTGGTGCTATAGCTCAAGTGATAGAGTGCTCGCTTTGAGCCAAAGAGTTCAGGGACAGGCTCAGGGTTCAAGCCCCACAACCAACAACAACAAGAAAGAAAGAAAGAAAGAAAGAAAGAAAGAAAGGAAGGAAGCAAGGAAGGAAGGAAGGAAGGAAGGAAGGACCATTGTACAAAATATACTCAAATTCTAGAAAAAGACCAAAAGGCAAGCTATTTTGATTATAACTGCCTTCCATCTTACTACAAACATCTCTTTAATCTCTTTGATTTTCCTTTAAAAAAGAGGGCATAGGGCTGGGAAAGTGGCTTAGTGGTAGAGTGCTTGTCTAGCATGCATGAGGCTCTGGGTTCGATTCCTCAGCACCACATAAGCAGAAAAAGCTGGAAGTGGCACTGTGGCTCAAGTGGTAGTGCTAGCCTTGAGCAAAAGAAGCTCAGGGACAGTGTCCAGGCCCTGAGTGCAAGCCCAGGACTAGCAGAAAAAAAAAAAAAATGAAGGCGTAAGCTGGGCATCGGTGTCTCATGCCTGTAATCCTAGTTACTCAGGCTCAAAGCCTATTAACCAGCCAAAAGCTAGGAGTGGAGTGTAGCTCAAGTGGTAGAGCACTAGCCTTGAGGGAAAAAAGCCAAGTGAGAGCAATGCTAAGTTCAAGCCCCATTACTGGCACGCGCACACGCACATGCGCATGCACACACCCACACCCACACCCACACACCCTCTCACACACAGAGTAAAGTTTTGGTAAATTTTGTTTTTACAGTTTATTTTTCCAGGCCCTTGTGTTTGCTAAGCATTCTGTCAGTGGAGGCATGCCTTTTAAAGTTATTTTTCAAGGGGCTGGGAATGTGGTTTAGCAGTAGAGTGCTTGCCTAGCATGCATGTAGCCCTGGGTTTGATTCCTCAGTACCACATAAACAGAATGGCACTGTGGCTGGCTCAAGTGGTAGAGTGCTAGCCTTGAGCAAAAAGCAGCTCAGGGGACAGTGCCCAGGCTCTGAGTTCAAGCCCCAAGACTGGCAAAAAAAAAAAAAAGTTATTTTTCAGATAAAATTTCCTGTTTTTTGTCCTAGGCAGCTTCAGATCTCAATCTTCTCACTATGCGTCTGCAGTAGCTGGGACTCCGGGCATGAACTTAAGGGTATGTAAACAGAAAGAGCACCAGCTGACAGAACACAAGTGATAATGACATCCCCAGGACGGCACCACTGCTGCGTAGTGTTTCGTTTCTCCAAGAACAGGGTGCGAGAGCAGAGAGGGAGTGTACTGTTACCGCAGCTGATCTGGAGGCCGTGCCACGGCCTGAGACCTCGCCCTCACCCGGAGTCACAAGGCTTCACTTCTAGAGTGAGGTCCAGGAGAACTTCTTTAAAGTTCCCTGCTTTGGGACCATATGCAGGGGGAAAAAGGGTAACGTCATAGCTTAAAATATCAGCTGAGCATGGTGGCACACAGCTATAATCTCAGCACTTGGGAAGCTGAAGCACAAGAATTGGGTCTGAATCAGCCTGTGAAAACAAAAAATTAGTGTCAAAGAGTTATGCTTTTTTCCCCCTATCATTTCTGGGCCTGGAAGCTTAGATGATCAATCTGTATGAACAGAAAATGTACAGAGGGGAAAAACTGCAAGGATTTTTGCCAAATGTGACACTTCCCACTCCCACTTTTTTTTTTTTTTGTCAGTGGTGGGGTTTGAACTCTGGGCCTGGGCACTGTCCCTCAGCTTTTCAGCTCAAGGTGACTGCTCTACCACTTGAACAGTGCCACTTCCGGTTTCCTGGTGGTTTATTGGAGATAAGAGTCTCATGGACTTTCCTGGTCAGGCTGGCTTTGAACCATGATCCTCAGATCTCAGCCTCCTGAGTAGCAAGGATGACAAGCGTGAGCCACCGGCGCCCGGCAAGAAGAGGTGCTTTGACTTCACTATCCCTCTGGACAGCACTGCACCGCAGCACGTGGGCCCTTGGCTGCCATCTTTAGTACAGTGGACATAAAAGAACACAAGCAAATGTATACTTAAATTAAATAGCATGATTTAATTTAGGTGCTGCTTAATCCTCAATTCTCTTAAGTTAAAAAAAAGTTATAATTAACTATTAACGTTAATGAATTTAAACCTTCCAGAAAGCATGAATCCAAAAGGAAATGTCCAGCAGGCAACATGAGCCGTCTATTTTATGGCCTTTGCCGTTTCCGTTTCGAACACTCTAAAAACGTCAATGAAAAAAAAAAATCTCTAGAGTTTCTCAGTTTTATTCTCCTAGAGCACACCAGTGCGGCCGTTACTGAGCGTGGTCTCCCAGCAGGTACACGATGAACTCGTAGGTGGACAGCACAATGGCTGTGTTTGGGATCTGTCGGATGAGCTGGGCAAAGAGCCCTCGGTAGAAGGCCAGGTAGCCTTCCTCCCGGAGCACCAGGCGCGCCGTCTGCACGAAGGACTTGTACTTGGTGCCCTCCTCCCTGAGCCGCGTCCTGATCACCTCTGCAGGGAGAGAAACACTCGCTTTAGGCATCCCAGAATGAGGTGAGCGGGCGAGGGGACTCAATCCCCGCCACGCAGGGGATGGCCGCATGCTCCCGTCACTGTGGACGGCGCAGGTGGCCTTTGGAGACACAAAGCCTGTTTCTGCCTGGCAAAATAAACTTACATGGTTGTTTCAGGGGTTCAGAGGAACAGTAGTGCTTGGCTGGTAGAGCACAGTGACAGAGCTTAGTATACTGAAGGCCTGAGGTTTGGTCCTCCGGGTAGGAGCTATGCCTGTGTTACCCACGTCCACCTCACCTGCAGGTACCAGGGGAGCATCCCCCCCATCTGAAAATCCGGAACCTGCAACCACTGGTACATATACTCGCTGGCTGGACCAGGCATGCTCACCCCCAAAATCTATGCATGTATTCCAAATCAAGCATCTCTACACTCTCAATCGCTCTGGCCGCGACCACTTTGGATAGAGAATACCGCGCCTACACTTGCGTTCCAGTGTGTGCTAGGGTGTAGGCAGGCTAGGCAGAGCAGCGCGCGTACCGTGTGGATAAGCGATGCAGGAGGCACAGCCTTTAGAAATCGCAGCAGCTGCCATGAGTGCAAAGAAACTTGTGGAATTTTTCTTGGTTCCGTTCGTGGACGAGGCTAATGGGACTTCATTCAGACACTTCTTTAAGCTTTCATAAATAGCAAAACAGATGATAGTTTCCGAGATTCCAGCATAGGAGGCCGTCAACCCTCTGTAGAAGCCACGGATGCCCTCCGTCTGGTAGACGTGCCGGGCGCACTGGAGTGTGTTCATCTGCTTGTAGCCTCTCACTCTGCAATGAAAGCAACGACAGGCTGCTGAACGGCACCCTGCTGCCATGCACCCCGACCCATTTGAGGCCAGCTTGTTTAGCTGGGACACAGGGCAGCGCAGACAGGTCAGCATCTGCATCAATAGTCAGAGAAACAGGGTGACAGCCCACGACCCATTTCTAGAAATACAGTCAGAGCTAGCCGAGTACTGTACGTAAAACCAGGAACAGGGACACATTAGGTTCAAGCAGTCACGACAGCAGTATGGTATGAAAAGATGCTTCAAGTAGAAGGCAGGACAGTTAAATAATAATCATGACCCCAGAATGTTTTCGGAAATTCTGACTTGTTGACACTCTTTCTTACTGCTCTATTCTCCACATAGAGGAACCTGTGTGTGGGCTGGGACTGGACCCTGAGCCTCATGCATAAATGAGGTATTTTTATTCTAATACAATTAAGCTTGGTTCCTTTCACAAAAAGGTACCCTGAGTAAGCTGAGGTTGACCAGATATTTTACTACTGTTCTGTCGTCTAGTCCCCTTACAAGAAAGTGACTTGTAGTGGCCCGTCTGTTGTGTTTTACATACCCTGTCCATTCCTGCTTCCTCTGCTTGAGTCACTGGCCCATTTACTCTACTTTATGGAATAGAAGGTTGCTAATTCTCAAACTGCGGAACAAAAATAACCATGAGGGGCTGGGAATGTGGCTTAGTGGTAGAATGCTTGCCTAGCATGCATGAAGCCCTGGTTTCCTCAGTACCACATACATACACAGAAAAAGCCCAAAGTGGCACTGTAGCTCAAGTGGTAAAGTGCTCATCTTGAGCAAAAGAAGCTCAGGAAGGGGTTGGGAAGTTGGCTCAGAGGTAGAGTGCTTGCCTCATGTGCGTAAAGTCCTGGGTTCGATTCCTGAACAGCACTTAAGCAGAAACAGCCAGAAATGGCACTGTGGCTCAAGTGGTAGGGTGCTAGCCTTGAGCTGAAGAGCTGAGGGACAGCGCCCAGGTCCAGAGTTTAGGCCCCATGACTGACAAAAAAAAAATTAATTAAAAAATAAAATAAATAAAAAAAGAAGCTAGGGGACAGTGTCCAGGCCCTGAGTTCAAGCCCTAGGACTGGCCAAAATGACAATTGTCCTTTGATTAATCCTTTGGTTAACATGCTTTTAAAAGACTTTTTACCAGTGTACAGTAATTGTACCAGAGGAGTTTCCTTGTGACATTTCCCCACTTGTACAGTACAATGTGCACATCAAACTCATCCCCTCGATCACTCTCTTATCTCCCACCTTTTAAACCTATTTCAACAAGTTTCATTGTTTTTTTTTTTTTTGGTCAGTGGGGCCTGAACTCTGGGCCTGGGCGCTGTCCCTCAGCTCTTCAGCTCAAGGCTAGCGCTCTACCACTTGAGCCACAGCACCACTTCCGGTTTTCTGGTGGTTAACAAGCTAACAAGCTAAGAGATTCATGAACTTTCCTGCCCAGGGTGGCTTTGAACCGCGCTCCTCAGATCTCAGCCTCCTGAGCAGCTAGGATTGCAGGCGTGAGCCACAGAAGCCCAGCTCCTTCTTCTATTCACATATATGTATGTAAAGAACTTCCCCCATAATCACCTCCACTCTCCCTCCTGCCAACCATGCTCTGACCTGTCTAGATGCATGTGTTTCCTGCTGCCCTCACCTGGCCACTCGCAGGATGGCAGGAGGTCCTCCCTCCTATGCAACTGCCTAGGGGACCCTCCAGTGTCTTGGGGCACCTCAGGCTTCTTGGCTCACCACACTACAATTCTATTTGTTCACTGACTATAACACTGTAAGCTAGAAAGCAGGAGCTGTGTCCTATCACTGTACTGTTTCTCTAGTGACCCCAGCAGCAAGAAATGTTCATTGTGGAGCTGGGAAGGTGGCTCAGTGGTAGAGCGCTTGCCTGGCATGCCTGAGGCCCTGGGTTCGATTCCTCAGCACCACATAAGCAGAAGAAAAAGCCGGAAGTGGTACTGTGGCTCAAGTGGTAGAGCGCTAGCCTTGAGCTGAAGAGCTGAGGGACAGTGCCCAGGCCCAGAGTTGAGGCTCCACGACTGACCAAAAAAAAAAAAAAGCTCATTGTGAAAGGACCACAGTTAATGGAGCCCACTACGACAAGGTTCTCAAAGTCCTGGGCGTGCTGCTGAGGAGAGTGAGAGAATGCAGAGAGCCAGGTGTTAGTGGCTCCTGCCACTAATCCTAGCTACTCAGGAGGCTGAGATCTGAGGATCACAGTTCAAAGCCATCCTGGACAGGTCTGAGACTCTTATCTCTAATCACACACACACACACACACACACACCAGGCACACACACACACACACCAGGCACACACACACACACACCAGGCACACACACACACCAGGCACACACACACACCAGGCACACACACACACCAGGCACACACACACACACACACACACACACACCAGGAAGAAGCTCTGTGGTTCAAGTGGTAGAATGCTAGCCTTGAACAAAAGCAGCTCAGGGACAAGGTCCAGGCCCTATCAAGCCCTAGAACTAGCACAATAACAAAGAATGCACAGAAAGGCTCTCAGCTGACTGGGTGAATTTATCTGCTGCTAAACAGAAGTGACACTAAGGGCACTGTATGAACACTTGGAATTGGGAAGCACAGCAAAGGCTGCCAGGCGGGAGCCGAGACTAGTCAGAAGCTAAAGGACGAGCAAACATTGGCACAGCACAACCAGGAAGGGGAAGGAAGATTCCTGGTGCAGGGCAGCACACTCGAACACCTGCTCAGCCAGAAGGTGTTCACCAACGGAGCCACTGACATGCATCGAAAGGTGCTGGACAAGGGATCTGTTCAAAGGGCCAGACCTGATGCGCTTTAAGGGGCAGAATGGACTGGGGGAACCTGGGGTCCCAGAGCAATCCAGGACTGTTGGAGTCACTAAAAGACAACACACACAGGCAGGCTTTTCTCAGTCTTTCCAGAAGCACCTTGGTTTGTTTGTTATTTTGTCTGCTGGTGTTGAGACTTGAACTCAGGGCCTCACACTCTTCCTTGTTTTTTCGTTTCTCTCTCTCTCTTTTTTTTTTTTTTTTTTGGTCCAGTCGTGGGGCCTGAACTCTGGGCCTGGGCGCTGTCCCTCAGCTCTTCAGCTCAAGGCTAGCACTCTACCACGTGAGCCACAGCGCCACTTCTGGCTTTTTTCTTTTTGCTTATGTGGTGCTGAGGAGTCGAACTCAGGGCCTCAGGCATGCAAGGCTAGCACTCTACCACTGAGCCACCTTCCCAGCCCTTGTTTCTCTTTTTTAACTTAAGGCTGACCCATACTTTCCCTTCGGGCTTTGTGCTGGCTAACTGGAGAGGCTCTCATGGACTTTTCTGATCAGGTTGGCTTTGAACTGTGACCCTTGACAGCCGGAGCAGCTAGGGTTACAGACTCAAGCTCCTCCGAGCATCTTTTGCTTTCTCCTTTCCTTTCCTCAGAGGCAGCCAGAAGGCTGCTGATATTAGCTAGAAGTTTCCAGGCATCTATTGCATAGAAACTCTTAGATTCAGGCCGGGCACTGGTGGCTCACGCCTGTAACCGATCTGAGGATGGCGGTTCAAAGCCAGCCCAGGTAGGGAAATCGGTGAGACTCTTATCTCTAATAAACTACTCAGAAAAAGCTGGAAGTGGTGCTGTGGCTCAAGTGGTAGAGCTCTAGCCTTGAGAACAAAGAAACTCAGGGACAGCACCCAGGGCCTGAGTTCAAGCCCCAGAACTGGGGGTGAAGGAGGGAATGTGGGGGATTTCTAGGCAGCTCCCTGATTTTTGTCTGGGAGGAAATTAATACCTTTGGTCCTATTCTCTACTGAAACTTAGCACTTCCTCAACCGTGAATGCAGATAACACACCGCAGAAGTACTAACAATACCCATGCTTCGACATACTAGAAATATGCCCTATCCCACCAGGAGCAAACAAAAAACATTGTTTACATCATCAATTCTTTGAGGTTATATGAGCTGCTGGACAGGCACTAGATTTTGTTATTTAATGTATTAAAGAAGCACTGCTACTGTATCCCAAGTAGTTTTAAAATTAGTAACTATATTTTAATAACTAGTTCCCATTTCTTTTTCTTTTTTTTTTTTGTCAGTTGTGGTGCTTAACTCTGGGCCTGGGCGCTGTCCCTCAGCTCTTCAGCTTAAGGACAGTGCTCTACCACTTGAGCCACAGCGCCACTTCCAGCTTTTTCTGTGTATGTGGTGCTAAGGAATCGAACCCAGAGCCTAAGGCATGCAAGACAAGCACTCTACCACTGAGCCACCTTCCCAGCCCCCCATTTCTTTTTAAAAACAAAAAGAAACAGCTGGGCACCAGTGGCTCATACCTGTCATTCTAGCTACTCAGGAGGCTGAGATCTGAGGATCATGGTTCAAAGCCAGCACAGGTAAGAAAGCCAGTAGACTCTTATTTCTAGTTCACCACTAAAAAGATCAGAAGTGGAGCTTATGACTCAAGCAGTAGAATGCCAGCCTTGAGCAAAATAACTAAGGAACAGTACTCAGGCTCTGAATTTAAGCCCAAGTACTGGCATATAAGTAAATAAATGAATGAATGAAATGCAAGCCCAAACCTTTAGCCTTAAAAAAAAGGACTGAAGGCTTCACCTGAATGCCAAAGGAATCTATAGCCCTCCAAAAGTCACCTCCTGCCTAGAGTTTCAGGGCAGAAGCCTCGTGTATCTGAGGGCCACATTCAGCATATTTGCTGAGGCCTGAAGGCTCCTTCTGCTCTGTCCTCCCCGGAAAGCCCGGCCTGTGAGTCCACAGCACTTCCAGCGGTGGGTCCACAAAGCCCCTGCGTGGACTGCAGAAAAGGAAGTCAGGACTGCTGAGAGGATTCCCAAGCTGCTCATCTTTGCAGCTCTCTCCTCTCAACAATGATTACAGTATAAATCTCAGAACAAAGGAATTTCAACACATAGGTAGACTGAGAAAAGCCCAGAAGGAAACAGACAGCTAAGGAATCCTACCACTAAAAAAATAAATCCCCAAGAGCTGTTCTACTAAGGAAAGAATTAATAACTTACTTCCGTTCTAGCTGCATCCTGGTTTTGACCATCCATATAGGATTCATTAAGGAATTTGTGACAAAAGCTGGAAGGAAGAAACAGAAGAAGTTATCGCTGAATACTGTTTATGAAAACTGTCCACCCCATGTAATACACTGGGAAATCTGGGTGTCAGTGGCTTAATGAGGCTGTATAACAGGGAACATTTCCACCCTGCAGATGGAAGCTGCAGTCTCTGAGAATGAAATGCCTATTGTCACTGCAGCTCCAAGGAAATCTCAATTTTCTACAGCCCGTTGGTCTTTCTAGCCACTAGGTGGTGCTGTTACGGTTTTTGTTCATAGGATTCCTAGGGAATAAACTGTCTAAAAATCCAATGGAGAAAAAAATTGTAACTTTCTGATTTAATCCAAAGGTTACTCTCTATCTAATATGAAATAAAGAAACTAAATCTCCATTTACCTGAGTTCAAACTTAGAAATTTAAAAACTTGACAAGTTATTTCAGAAAACTGGATTTTAAAAACCAGATCTGCTTACAGGAGTCATTTTTTGGTAAGCCTTTTGCATCTTAGCATTAGCAATAATCCCTGATCAGCCAAAAAAGGAAATGGCATGGTATTACCCAACAGCCTTCTAATACCTCATGCCCTCTAGGTACGGAGAAGAATGAGCAGATTAAATTCCTACTCAAGGATACTTATTTTAAAAGCTCCCTCAAGGTCTGCTTTATTTACCCAGGGTCTTAAGTTAATTCTGCATAACTGATAAATAACTTCTCCATGATGGCTAACTCACTATTGGCCTATTAAATGGAGAACAATCTATTTTGGAATGCTACCTGTATTCCACTGAGCCTCAAGTTAGGTAGAAACATCTTTCCTGAGTCAAACAGCTTTGCTTAATAGTTATTTTTCAGGGCCTAGAAACATAATCTAGGAATATTCAAAAGAACTGCCAGGAATTTTATTGGGAATAACAAAGGCAGAGGAAGCTGGTGTGGACAAATTACAGGCTGGAAGATGGATACATTATTATTATTTTTTTGGTGCCAGTCCTGGGGCTTGAACTCATGGCTTAGGCACTGTCCTTGAGCTTTTTCACTCAAAGCTAGGTCTCTACCATTTGAGCAACAGCTCTACTTCTGGCTTATTGGTAGTTAATTAGAGTTAAGAGTCTCATGGGACTTTTCTGGACAGGCTGGCTTTGAACAGAGATCCTCATATCTAGCTAGGATTATAGGTGTGAACCACCGGCACCCGCAAGATACATATTTTTTCCCCCTGGTCATAGGGCCTGGACTCTGGGCCTGGGCACTGTCCCTCAGTTCTTCAGCTCAAGGCTAGTGCTCTACCACTTGAGCCACAGCGCCACTTCTGGCTTTTTTTGTTTATGTGGTGCTGAGGAATCGAACCCAGGACCTCATGAATGCAAGGCAAGCTCTCTACCACTGAGCCACCTTCCCAGCCCAAGATAGACATTTTCATAAAATTCTCTAAAATAGCTTTGGAGTTAAATGCACATATATAGTCTCTACGAGAAGACAGAGCCTTCACTTAGCCGTGTGCAGCCATGGTTTCTGCACAAGCTCCGCAGTGAGTAGAATAATTTCTTCCAGCCTGTGCAACTACTCCACCTAAGCACCTCCCCAGGCCCCTAGCCAGAACCCTCCTGTGCCACCTAGTCGTTAAGGGCAGCTGTGCCCCTGACACCTGTGAGAGACACAGAGAAAGCAGCTGACTTCAGAAAGTAGCTCAATGGGGAAAGCAAGAGGACATAGAAATCACCTTGATATTCCTTCAAAAGAGATGACACTGACCAGTAGCATGCAAGGGTATGCACATGGGGGGGGGGGCGGGAAACTGAGAAACTTGGGTGGTCAGTTGCTCTCAAACACCCATGTCCTATCAGCTCTAAGGAAGCTCTTGGAAAATGATTTTAGGTGCAAGAGAAGCGGTGAGCTACCTCTGATTCGGGGCGGGGACCACATGCATGCTTTGGGACGGAGAACTTTTCTTCTCACTCCCTAGGGTAACATACCTGCAGAGCCAGCTGAGAAAATATGCACAGTATTGCTATTAGGCACGAAAATGTCATTAAATTGCTCTTTGGCTTTGGAGTAACATGCAAAGTACACAGCCCTGTTAGAACAAAGAGAGAACGCTATGAGGAAACCATTATGGCACTGTAAAATCTCTATGTCTGGCTGCAACATATACAAATGCAGAAGTCAGCTGGAGCTGGAAGTGTGACCTCACCGTGTGAAAACCTAGACCTGCCCACACTTCTTGTCTCCTGGCACTGACTTAGTGGTGACAGAGGGTCCAAAATAATCCATGCAATTCCTCACACCAGTGTTCCCAAGAGCATGCGTCACCAGGGTCCTTGCTCCAGTGGGGACCTGGACGTGGCCTAGGCTGCCAAGACTGCGCATTCCTGGCTCAGTAATACCCAGGCGCTGACCATGTACCATGTACAGCCACACTTCCAGCAGGAAACGGAGAGGAACCACAGTGAGGACAGCTCTTCAGTCTTCAGTGACCACATTAAAATCACCACCCACAGGCACCACCACTGCTCCATAGCACGTCTATTTAGGCAAAGCCAACCAGGAGAAGCAGTTGGCCACCGAGCAGCGAGCTCCCCCTTTGGCAAGGATGGACTCGGGGGTGCACACTACCCATTGAGCTAGCTCAGCAGTTCAAGGCTTACCTTGACGGTGCAACTCCAACCAAATTTGGACCCAAGCCTCTAAAAAGTGACTTTGGTCCTTCCTTCTCCAAGATTGACCTGAACAACAAGAAAAGATACACATTTATATACCTTTCTATATTTTCTTTCTTTTTATTTTTTTGTCAGTAGTGGGGCTTGAACACTGGGCCTGGGTGCTGTCCCTCAGCTCTTCAGCTCAAGGCAAGCGCTCTACTACTTGAGCCACATGCCACTTCTGGTTTCCTGGTGGTTAATTGGGAATGAGAGTTTCATAGACTTTCTTGCATGGACTGGTTTTGAACTGTGATCCTCAGATCTCAGCCTCCTAAGTAGCTAGGGTTACAGGCGTGAGCCACCAGCACCTAGCTTATTTACACTTTATTATATTAAATTTATTTTTAGTTATATTTTGTATTATATTTTATTATATTTATTTTCATTATATTTATACTATATACTATATATAATTACATAATGCCTTCATATAATTATATTTATTATATTTATAGTTATACACCTGTAAGCTAAGCCTAGGCCAAATGATAAGGACCAGGCTTCACACTGGCTCCTTGCAGGAATAAATTGTTTTAGAGACCCCCACAGACTCCTAGCTGACTCTATGCCAATGTATGACCCGGGAAGTACAAGCAGGAGGACCACAGTCTGGCTGCCCGGACATGAAGTGAGACTCTGCCTTGAAAATGAAATCACCAATTCAAAAAGGGGATGATGGAGGTGCATGTGGCTCAGGCGGTAGAGCACCTGCTTAGCAAGTGCAAGTTCAAGCCCTAATACAAACACACAAAAAAGCCGAGGCCCTGATTCAAGCCCCAGGACCACCCTCCTACGTACTGTGTATTTCTACACAACAGCAATGACCAATCTGAAAATGGAATTAAAAACCAAACACAACAATTCCACACTGGGTGTGGTGACATGTGCCTGTAGTCCCAGATGAGGCCAGGTCAGGTAACACAGTGAGACCTGTTCAAAAATAAAAACCGGGGCTGGGAAGGTGGCTCAGTGGGAGAGCGCTTGCCTTGCATGCCCGAGGCCCTGGGATTCCTCAGCACCATATAAGCAGAAAAAGCCTGAAGTGGTGCTGTGGCTCAAGTGGTATAGAGCGCTAGCCTTGACAGGCCCAGAGTTCAGGCCCCACAACTGACAAAAACAAAACAAAAACCTAACTGTTTACAATCTTATCAGAAAGTATCAAATACTTACTCAAAGAGCCAGAGCCAGATTAGGTCTTACTTTTGTAGTGATAAAAATGGAATTAAAATAGTGGTCACAATCATGTACCTTTGAACCTACTCTTCTTTTAATAAGCAGTCAGTTTGTTCAGCTCTATTTACAAAATCGATTTACTTCAAAATGGTAGAGATAACAATCTTACCTTTTTTTTTTTTTTTTTTGGTCGGTCGTGGGGCTTGAACTCTGGGCCTGGGCGCTGTCCCTGAGCTCTTCGGCTCAAGGCAAGTGCTCTACCCCTTGAGCCATAGCACCACTTCTGGTCCTCTGGTGGTTTATTGGAGATAAAAATCTCTTGGACTTTTCTGCCCAGGGTGGCTTTGAACCATGATCCTCAGATTTCAGCCTAAGTAGCTAGGATGACAGGCATGTACCACCGGCGCCTGGCAACAATCCTACTGTCTAAACACAAAATCTTTTCCTTCCTGGAAGGCATAAAGTCACTTTCATTTGTTGTGTGCAGTTCTGGGGCCAGGATTCCACAACTTGAGCCACCTGTAAATAACTCCCCATGCTCTCTTGGCTTTGCCACACCTAGATAGCTAGGGAACACGTTCCACACAAGTGCAGCCGACAGGTCATTCTTCCTATGGCGTCAGGGGAAGGTCAAAGAAATGAGATTTTAAATTGTCTGACCTAACCAGACAATATGCTATCATTTAAGAATAGGAAGGAAATAATGATACAGAATGAATGGGCTTTAAAAAACTTGGGTCAAATGAAAGAAGCAGACCCAAATGGTCGTATCACGTAAGTGTCCAGAAGCCACATTTGCGAGAAGAGGTTGGCTGCCTTGGGCTGGAAGTGAGTTTGAGGTGGGGAGTGAGTATGAACAGGGAAAGGGGCCAGTTGGGAACCTGGGCTCAAGCCTGTCATCCTAGCTTCTCAGGAGGCTGAGAGCTGAGAATCAAGGCTCAAAACCAAATCAGTAGACAAAATCCTAGAGACTCTTCTCTCCAAGTAACCTACAAGCTGGAAGTGGAGCTGTGGATCAAGTGGCAGAACACCAGCATCGAATGAAAGTTGAATAAACGAAGCCAAGGCCTGAGTTCAAGCTCCAATACTAACACAAAAATATATAAAAATAATCAATGGGTAAAAAGAGTCTCTTTTAGTGGGCACGAACAGTAATGTTGCACAATATTCTGTAAATACAGTATACGCATTTAAGTGCATTTCATCTTTTTAGACAGGGTCTCTTCGAAGGCCCTGAGTTTAAAAACTGCAATACAGGACGAACACAGTGGCACACACCTACAATCCCAACCAGTTGGGAGGTGGAGATTGGGAGGGTTGTGATTTGAGGCCAGTCTGGGCAAAAAGTCAGACCTCATCATCTCAACAAAAAAAGCTGGGTACAATGGCTTTCACCTGTCACCTTAGCTGTATGAGTAGCTTAAGCTAAATCCTTAAGAGGATTGCAGTGCAGGCTAGGCCCAGAAAGATACCTAAGAGTCTACTGAAAATTAACTCAAGTAAAAAGGGACAGTGGCATGGCTCAAGTGGTGGAGCACCTACCTAGCAGGCAAGCCCTGAATTCAAGACCCTAGTACTGAGAGGAGGAGGTGGAGGGGGGCCAAGACAACTAAATGAGACCAAGTTTCCCTAGGTTGAGCAAGCTGGTTCTGAACTCCTGGGTTCAAGTGATCTTCCCCATATACCTGGGACTACAGGTATGTGTTACAGTACTTGGCTGAACTGTATACTATTAAATGGGGGGGGGATTGTATGGTATATGAATTACTTCTTCATGAAAACACAGACAAAAAATAGAAATAAAAAAATACACAGATCATGATTAAAACCCAAAGTTAATGGAAAACAAGTGTTAGGGTAAACATAATTCTTGGGGGACTTCACAATGAGCATGGAGTTTCAGGGAACATTCACACAGTCAAAATAAGTCAGGTGGTTCTCAACAGAGGCCTGAGAATTTCATGGTTTCAAACTGAAACTCTCCTCCTCAAAAGGCTGAGCTTGCTGAACAAGAACTCCTCTCAGGCACCACCTTGACGTGCCCTGCACCTTCTAGAACAGACTACTCAGTTAAGTTTCCAGCTATGGTCCCCTGTGTGCCACCCCAGGAGCCATTTAGGCCCAGCGCAGGGAATCCTGGGCTCCAGGAAGCTGGGAGTGCTCATCCATAATGCAGTGGGCGCACGTCCTCAAATGACTTGGGCCATTTAAGAACTGAAGAAAGATCGTCTCCATAGTTACACATATTAGCAACTGGCAAGGAGTCAGATCTGTTATATAATCTGAACTCCTAGCCTATCTGGATATTTACAGCTCTCTTCTGGAACAATCAACTTCTTACTATAAATGGCACACGAGGCTTTGAAAGAAGGCATGGAGGGATCCCTGACTTTCCCAGTCACCTTAGCTTTGGGAAGGGAAATGAACAGAAGCCAGAGCCATGCTGGGGGCAGTTATGCCCTCTTCTTCCTGTTTTATATCACAATATGCATATCACAGACAATGGAGACAATCAGCTCATTTAAACAGGGCAGCTCTTAAGAGATACCTTCTAGCTCCCTGGCAAGGCTGTTACTTCATAAATAGAAGATAACTCAAGTTTAAAGAGTAGCAGTTTGGTTCAAGAAAAAAATCAAGCCAGAAGATTTTTATTTTGTCAGAAAGTCAGCATTTAAAATAAACACTATTACTTTGGAAACTGTGATAGTGAGTCTGAACTGGCTAACAATTTCCATTGCTGTGTTTTTCTTTGTATGTAACTATTCAAAAGATAAAAGCTGTCTCTTCTTCCTTGAAGAATATGTCTCTAATAGCTTAAACACCAGACACCAGTGAATGATTTGCATTTTGAAAAATAAACTTCTGCTGACAAATACTGGTCTCTGAAGGCAGCACTTCCAGAAGGGGCAGACAGGCAGGCAACTAACAGCTCAGTGCTAAAGGAACCAGAAACACAGTATCTTCTAGAAAGAGAACAAAACACTGAGTTGGGTCTTGCAGGATAGAGGAGGCCCGGCCCGCTTCATGCTGCCCTTAGCTCAGAGGCCCGGTTCCCACTAGGCTGGGGGGGAGGAGGAGAAAGCTGTCAAGCTTTGTGACCACGCTGCCACAGGAGCACACTGTCCTGTGTGGACTGTGGACTATTCTCTGACCCTGCCCACATGGAGAGCACACACTGCCCGAGGGTCCAGCATGTGTTCTTCAGAAGAGAATTAGGCAATATATACTCCCCTCTTTTTGCTTTGGCCACTAATAAATGCAATTAGAAATCTTATGATTGAAAAGCACAGAAAAATGCGTCTTAGTAGGGTGCTGGTGGCTCCCACCTGTGATCCTAGCTACTTAGGAGGCTGAGATCTGAGGATTGCAGTTCAAGGCCAGGCAGGGCAGGAAAGTTCGAGACTCTTATCTCCAATAAACTACTCAGAAAAAGCCGGAAGTGGTGCTGTGGCTCAAGTGGTAAAGTGCTGGCCTTGAGCACTGAGAGGCTCTGGGACAGCAGGCAGGCCTTGAGTTTGAGCCCCAGGACTGGCAATACTATACATAATGACAGTGGTGAATGTTTCCATGGCAGGAGAGGGTTCAGTGCTTGGTGTAACAGCTGCTGACCTGCCCACGGTCACTCCCCTTGGGTACTGAATGTTGCTTTGGCCACAGGCAACATTTTAGGATCTGAGGACCTGTCAGTAAGCAAAACAACACCAGTTCAAGGGGTGGGAGCCAAAAGAACATATAAGTAAGAAACACCTCTGCTGGGGGATGGGGACCCGGCTGTGGAGGCAGCTGGAGGGAGGGCTGGCGTGGCTCTAAATAGCAGGTTACTGCAAGGCCTTCCAGCAAAGGTGACAAAGCCTGAAGATAACACCCCCACAAGGACCTGGGGGTAAAGAAAATGTGCCTCTTAGGAGGGAAAGGAGGCTTCCAGGGCAACAGGAAATTAAGTCAGAGACGTCATGCAGGGACCGGCAAGACAGAGCCTGGCACGCCAATGGCCGCAGGGATGGCCACGGGCTGGGGCTGGTGTTTGGAGGGAGCTGGGACCCCTCGGAATGGCAGCACAAGATTCCCCAGCTGCTCAGCTGAGGATGAGGGTTGTAGATGGCTGAGTACTGGGCCAGGGCAGTTAGTAGGACACACACACACAGGACAGGGCAGTTACACACGCACACACGCACGCATGCACGCACAAACGCACACCCAAGACAAGGTGGCATGGAGCAGGCCAGCCCTGCAGGAAGGGAAAGAGGAGGCTGCATCCTTTATATAGGTTGCAGGCAGAGTTGACAGGATTTGCTGTGGGGCTGACACTCCAAGGCCACAAGGACAAAGCTACTTCCCTGCAAGACAAAGAAATTTGGAGCAGCAGGGGTCAGGAAATGTGGGTTTGGGGTTTGTTATGTGTTGGAGTGTGAGAAGCCTAAACCTGTGGCTCCCAGATGCTATTTGCAGCCAGGAAGACTAAATATGCCCACAGAGGGAGTGGCTGTCACTAGGGAGCGTGCCAGGCAGAGTCCTGGGACCCTCCCACTGCAGACAGCCAAGGAAGAGGGAACAGCTGAGGTCAAGAGCCAAGAGCCTCCGCGTCTCGAGGAGAAACTGAAAGATGAAGTCGCTCAGCTTCCACCAGGGTTTTTGTTTTGTTTTTCTCCAACCAGGGTTTTTGTCGTTCTTTTTCACCTTGCTTTTAGCTGCTCCAAACTGTTTTTAGAAGTAAGGTGGCTATGCATAAACATGACTCTGGGTGTGTCACTTAACTGCTGTCTGTCTGTCCTCAGATCTAAAGTGAGGGAATGGCAGGCCCAAATGCCAGCCAGCACTTTAAGTTGCTGTGAAAAATCAATGAAATACTACTACTTGAAAGGACTCTTTTTTGGGGGGGATGGGGGCGCACGGGGAAGGGCTCTCAGCCACTCATGAGGCTTGAACTCTGGGCCTGGGCGCTGTCCATCAGCTCTTCAGCTCAAGGTGAGTGCTACCACTTTGAGCCACAGTGCCACTTCTGGTGGTTAACTGGAGATAAGTCTTATGGACTTTCCTGCCCAGGCTGGCTTTGAACTACGATGATCCTCAGATCTCAGCCTTCTGAGAAGCTAGGATTACAGGCGTGAACTACTGCCGCCTGGCCATGAATGGACTCCTTGTTTTTTGTTTTCAAATTTAACTTGAACACTGCTAACATCAGCTGAGATGAGCTGGAGAACCCTAAAATTGTGTAAGCCAGGCTGAGGAAGTAAAGCTTAAGAAAGCTCTTAGGTGAGGGGCTGGGAAGGTAGCTCAGTGATAGAGTGCTTGCCTTGCATGCCTGAGGCCCTGGGTTCGATTCCGCAGCACCACATAAGCAAAAAGAAAAAAGCCGGAAGTGGCCCTGTGGCTCAAGTGGTAGAGTGCTAGCCTTGAGCTGAAGAGCTGAGGGACAGCACCCAGGCCCAGAGTTCAGGCCCCACGACTGGACCCTCCCCCCCCTAAAAAAAAAAAGAAAGCTCTTAGGTGAAAATGCCACTTCACACACTTTACTGGGGCTTGAACTCAGGGCCTGGGTGCTGTCTTTTAGATTTTTTACACTACTATCTGAGCTAAAACTCCATCTCCTCATCCCCTACAACCCCTCTTTTTGGTGGTAAACTGGAATTAAAGAATGTCCTGAACTTTCTTGTCTGGGTTGGCTTGGAACCTCAATCCTCAGATCTCAGTCTCTTACGAGTAGATAGGACCATAGGTATAACACCTGGCCATAGACATTTTCTAATATAGCATCATTATAATCAACATTTTCCCTAATCCTGTGTTTATAGTTTGATATGAACATATGTAAGTGCATTTAAAGTGTTCATATGTAAGTGAATCTCATTTTGTAGCTCTGTGTGTACCAACTAATGAATACTGCAGTCCACAATGGAAGTACTTTGGTGTGGTGTGTGGTTTTTCCCCCACATTCAAAAAGATGGGGTGGGGGCTGGGAAGGTGGCTCAGTGGTTGAGCGCTTGCCTTGCATGCCTGAGGCCCTGGGTTCGATTCCTCAGCACCGCATAAGCAAAAAGAAAAAAGCCGGAAGTGGTGCTGTGGCTCAAGTGGTAGAGAGCTAGCCTTGAGCTGAAGAGCTGAGGGACAGCGCCCAGGCCCAGAGTTCAGGCCTCACGACCGACCAAAAAACCCCCAAAAAGATGGGGTGTTTTTTTGGCCTTCCCGCCCTTTGGTTTATACTGTAATAAACAATTACCCTTGGTGGCCATGGGGACATACACACATACACAGGAAACTAGAGACTAAATATCACATCTGTCTGTCTCCATATCTCCCAGCTCCTCGCTTTCCCACAGCCTTTTGGAATCCCACCCACTACTCTCTCAGATCAGCTTCAAAACTGATCCTGCTGGGCTCTTCTGGAGAAAGTTTCTCTCTCCCTAGTAACTTTCTGACTCTCATTTGGGGCCTGGTCTCAGCAGCTGTGGTGGCATCCAGTTCTGCTCAGAAAGCTAGATGCTTCTCCAGACACATTTGGCCCATGAGCTCCGCTCAAGGTGCTGGGGGTGTTGATTACTCAAAATCTCCACTTATTTCCTCTTTTCCCAACTAAATTGTCTATGCAGATCAACAGTGATATATTTTTTGCTGTTGTTGTTGTTGTCATGGAGCTTGAACTCAGAGCTTGGGCACTGTCCCTGAGCTTTTGTGCTCAAGGTTAGTGATCTACCACTTTCATCCACAGCTCCACTTCCAGTTTTCTGGTGGTTAACTGGAGATAAGAGTCTCACTGACTTTCCTGACCTGGCTGGCTTTGAACGGTGATCCTCCGATTTCAGCCTCCTGAGTAGCTAGGATTACAGATATGGGCCACCAGTGGCTGGCTGGTGTTATCTTTCTTAAACACATCTTTTCCCAAGGATCACTTTCAGAGGCCCAAGGATCACAATGAGTGAATTTTAACTGTCATTTATTATTTCTTTAAAAAGTATATGCCCAGCCAGGCATCCTGGCACAGCCTATAATGCCAGCACCTGGGAGGCAGAAGCAGACTATCCAATAAAGAGGCCAGCCTGGGCTACATAGTGAGGGCTTGTCTGCTAAGAAGAAGAAAAAAAGAAAAGTGTAAGCACAGTTCATAAGCTAAAAATCAGATCATGTCAAATGTTCTTCTGAATTAACTTTGTCTTAAGCTCAGTGGCTGAGAAGCCAAATTTTTCTACAGTAAAAATGAGTAGGTATCTTAGGTGAAAAACAAAACAAAATCTTCTCTATTATTTCCAAGTTAAAACAAAAAGCTAGGCACCAATGGTTCACACTTACAATCCTAGCTACTCAGTAGGCTGAGAGCTAAGGATTGTGGTTCAAAGCCAGCCAGGGCAGGAAAGTCCATGAGACTCTTATCACCAATTAAATACCCCCAAAAAGCCGGAAGCAAAGCTGTGGCTCAAGTGGTGGTAGAGCACTAGCCTTAAGCACAAAAGCACAGGGGACAGCTCCCAGGCCCTAAGTTCAAACCCCAGGAGTGGTACACACACGTTAAAAAAAAAAATCATCATTTCTATATTCATCTTTGAAGTATTTACAACCCACATCTGACTTGTACAATTTTTCTCTGCTACTCCTAAGCCTCTTTTTCACCCTTGAAGATTTGAGCATCAGCAACAATTTGATTCAGTACAGGTTTAAACACAGGTTTCAGCTGCATTGCAGTTAGACTGTCTAGTCAACTGGCCCTGACGATCCAGCAGATCCCCTCCCCCCAGGATGCAAGGTCAGGGTTCAAAGAACTCTTTCTCAAATTGAGAGCCAGACTATGTAAATAATCTCATGCCTTGGTGGGGTTGGCAGCCATTCTGGATTGGCAGTGGGGAGGTGGTGGCAGGAGGAGAGGGGGCTGGGTGAATGGGGGGCTGACTTACTTCAGAACCTGCAAGAGTCCTGGGGTCACCGACGTTGGTCTCACCATTCCAGCTCCACTAATGGTCCCCAGATGAACCTGAGGATAATAGACTGTCCGGAGGGCTAGTCTTGAAGACTGCAGCCTGGTCTTAATGACTTCCAGTGGACAAGTGAAAATAGCACCAACTGTGCCCCCGCACCTGTAAGAAGACATCACAGCACGTTCAGAAGGGTGACAAGACCCCACACCAGTACAAGGGGAAGCCAAAAGTTTTTCTCTCTCCAAAAATAGACATGTGCCCACTTAGTAAAAAGTTATAACACAAGACAGGTTAAAATCAGTTGAAATTGAGACTGGGAAGGTGGCTCAGTGGTAGAGCACTTGCCTTGCATGCCTGAGGCCCTGGGTTCGATTCCTCAGCACCACATAAGCAAAAAGAAAAAAGCCAGATGTGGCGCTGTGGTTCAAGTGGTAGAGCGCTAGCCTTGAGCTGAAGAGCTGAGGGACAGCGCCCAGGCTCAGAGTTCAGGCTCCATGACTGGACCCCCCCCCAAAAAAAAAAATCAGTTGAAATTCTTGAGCTAAAGAGACACCAACTGCCACCACGTCCCTCTCTGTCAGCATGGACAGCACTGCACTGCTCGTGATGGCTTTGTACCATCCCTCTGTACCAGTACTTAACAGCTGGACACTGGCCATATCTAATCTGTCATGCTATACTGAATGTTCTAGAAAATCCATCTTTGCATGTCCAAGCCAAGTATTCAAGTAATATTACTATTCTGAAAAATCTATACTTACCAGATACAGACCCTTATATGAAAAGCTAACTAATTTAGACTCCACTGAAAATTAGAGCCGACAGCGGGGTATGTGGTGAAGGCCTAGAATCTTGGCTACTTGAGAGGAAATGCCGGGAGGGACAGTGGTTCAAAGCCAGACCAGGTAACAAAGTTTGAGACTCCATCGGAATCAGTGGCTGAGCACAGTGATTCTCATGTGTCACTGGGAGCTATGGGGAAAGATCACTAATAGGAGAACCAAAGTCCAGACTGTCCTGGGCAAAAAGCAAGACCCAATCCTGAAAATAACCAATGCAAAAATGGCTGGCAGAGTGGTTCAAGAAGTACAGTGCACCCGTTTAGCAAGCGCAAAGCCCTGAGTTCAAATCCCACTACAACACCTGTCTACCAGAAACAGAAAACCAAAGCTTCCTTTCCATGACAAAGTGTTTGTTTCCCTCATTTAAAACTGACCAAATGATCAAATGTTACACTCCCTGTTACACTGTCTTCCTCTCACAAATTCACTCACTTCAGTACTGCCTTTCACAACATACTCATGGAGAAATTAGTTGACTTATTAAGTACTCTTTACTTGAACTGTTACATATTTCTTTCAGAGACTGAACTTCATGCTTTGTGTCTGCTAGACAAGCATTCTATTCCTTGAGCTATACATGATCCTAGCCTTTTTTTTTGTCTTTTGAAATAGAGTCTCACTAACCTTGTGTGGGCAGGGCTCAAACTCATGATCTTTCTGCCTCCACCTCCTGAGTAGCTAGGATTATTTTTTATTTTTTGGTTGATCCTGGGGCTTGAATTCTGGGCCTGGGTGCTGTCCCTCAGCTCTTCAGCTCAAGGCTAGTGCTCTACCCCTTGAGTCACAGCACCACTTCCAGTTTTCTGGTGGTTAATTGGAGATAAGAATCTCATGGACTTTCCTGCCCAGGCTGGCTGTGAACCATGACGATCCTCAGATCTCAGCCTCCTGAGAAGTTAGGATTACAAGCGTGAGCCACTGGCGCCCGGCTGATTTTGTTATTAAAATGAAATTATTCCTCACTAGCTCAGCCTCTCCTTACTGTGTGTTTTCCCCGCCTCGAGGCCCAATCCCATCATCAGTCAGTGGTTTCTGATGCAGACTGGAAGGACGAAAAGGCAGAAAGGAAGCCATGTTTTATACAGTGGATCATGACTCTCAGTAAGGTTATTATATACTTTTTCGGAGATCTCAGGGCTATGTGCTTAAACCAAGACACAAATGTAGAGCCCTTGTCTCTACAACCTGTGTCTCCCTACAGCTTTTGTGCTTAATGTATTTTTTTTTATCATGAAAAAAAAAGTCATTTAAGCACCTGAATGTATAAAGAATAGGATATGGTTGGAATGCTTCACACACACACACAAAGGCTAAACAGCTTCCTAACCTGCTTCTCTGCACACTGTTGTAGTTAGTAGCCACATTCTAAAAAACCTGTAGCATTCAAAAATATTGGAAACAGTACCTGCTACAAAGAAAAAAGTACCTGAAATCTTTTGATAGTCAATAAAATAACTCCACATCACCACAAATCCAGTTTCTAGGTAAATTCTTTCATCAGAAACACCCAGTTCAAATGGGACACAGGTCAACCACCTTTGATTTGTCCCTGTCAAGAGTACTCATTGCTTTGGCAGCTTGTCAAGGCAATCTGTGCTATTGAAGGAACACTGGTCCAATCACGCTGCCCCACCAGCAGAGAGCTCTTAGAGAACTGCGGGCAGTGGCCACCCGCTCTCCGAACCACAGCCTCCTTTCCATGCTCTGCACTGTGACTTCTGGGAGACGTGAGGGGAGGGCATGTGAAGGTCTGCATTTCCACACCCCTCCCCAGTGCATGAGCTGGGGTCTCCCAGACAGGGGTGTGTCATTAACAAGGTAAAGATAATTGTCACATCACGGTGTCACAGCAAACCTCTGAAATGCTGGGAAATAATGCAACAGAATATTACAGCCTATTACTATTAAAACTGTATTACTAGTCACTAGGCAAGCCCCTTCTCTAAACAGAACTATTCAAAGGATGTTTTTCAGACTTAAGCTGCATCAGATACAGATCCAGCTGCATTAGATACAGATCCACCAAAATATTCATCAAAAGACAACAAGCTGCAATATAAAATTTCCAAAGGAGATACGTCCTGAAATTTAGAATATTCCTAGAATTTTTCAAGTATCTTCCAACTCAACTCCATTTTCCTTCTTTATGAGCCAACCAAATGGGCAAGAATGTCATCAGTTGAGAAGGTAACGCAAGTATGAAATACTTATCTAGATTGGCCTCTAAACATATTTCATCACTAAAGGTGACAGTATGGGTTCGTGGTGAGGCACGTGCTTACCACGCTTGACATCAGGAATTTGATCCCTACCCTACTACATAATATATTAATTGGGTCTGTGAAGGTGGCTCAGTGGTAGAGTGCCTAGCATGCATGAAGCCCTAGGTTTGATTCCTCAGTACCACATAAAGAGAAAAAGCCAGAAGTGATAGAATGCCAGCCTTGAGCAAAAGAAGTTCAGGAACAGTACTCAAGCCCTGAGTTCAAGCCCCAGAACTGGCAAAAATAAAAAATAAATAAGTTTAAGGGGCTGGCAAGGTGGCTCAGTGGTAGAGTGCTTGCCTTGCATGCATGAGGCCCTGGGTTCGATTCCTCAGCACCACATAAGGAGAAAAAGTTGGAGGTGGTGCTGTGACTCAAGTGGTAGAGTGCTAGCCTTGAGCTGGAGAGCTGAGGGACAGCGCCCAGATCCAGAGTTCAGGCCCCACGACCACTAAAATAAAACAAAACAAAATAAATAAATTTAAAAATAAAAAATCAATCACCAGGCGCTGATGGCTCACACCTGTAATCCTGGCTACTCAGGAGGCTGAGATCTGAGGATCGCACTTTGTTTGTTTTTGTCAGTCATGGGGCTTGATCTCTGGGTTTGGGCGCTGTCCCTGCACTCTTTAGCTCAAGGGGAGCGCTCTACCACTTGAATTACAGAGCCACTTCTGGTTTTCTAGTGGTGTATTGGAGATAAAAGTCTCATGGACTTTCCTGCCAGAGCTGGCTTTGAATCACGATCCTCAGATTTCAGCCTCCAGAGTAGCTAGGATTACAGGCCTGGGCCAGCTAGGATCGCACTTTGAAGCCAGCGCAGGCAGGAAAGTCTGTGAGACTTTTATCTCCAATTAATGGAAGTGGTGTTGTAGCTCAAGTAGTAGAGTGCTAGCTGTGAGCAAAAGGGGCTCACAGACAGCACCCCGGCCCAGAGTTCAAACCCCAGGACTGGCAAAAAAATAAAAATAAGAATAAAAATCAAGCCGGGCACCGGTGGCTCACGCCTGTAATCCTAGCTCCTCAGGAGGCTGAGATCTAAGGATCGTGCAGTTCAAAGCCAGCCCAGAAGGAAAGTCCGTGAGACTCTTATCTCCAATAAACCACTAGAAAACTGGAAGTGGTGCTGTGGCTCAAGCGGTAGAGTGCTCACCTTGAGTTGAAGAGCACAGAGACAGTGCCAAGCCCCATGCCTGACAAAATAAATAAACAAAAATCAATAGTGAATATTTAAGTTTTTCTGAACACACATTGGTTCGGTTGCCAGCATTTCACCTGACACTGTCTTCCAGTTTTGCTCTTCTAAATCCCTCCTTCCTCTGAATACATCACGGGCAGATTCTATAACTTTCTAGTAACTTTCAGTTTTTCGAGCGTAGACCCATTGAAAACTTCTAACTCCAATCTGCTTCAAAATTCCCCTCTACTACCACCAGCCAAATATGTGACTTGAGGGGACGTGGTCTGCCCCATCCTTTTCGCTACTCTTCCCATGGGCTTGGGGACAGGGAGCGGAGAGGTCCACAGTCAAGAAGCTGCTCCAGGCCAATCCAACGAACAAACTCTCTGGGGGCATCATTGAGGTGGCCCCTGTTGGCCCCCTCCCAGCATGCATCTCTTCTCCCTCCTTAGTCCACACAGCATGAATGGGATCAAGCCATTGCTTTTTTTTAGCTCAGACTCACTTAACGTCATCCACACAATTCCAGCCACTTTGCCATGCAATCTCTTCAAAAAAGGGCATGGGATTTGGCAAAGACAACATACTTTCCCCGGAAGCAATGATTAGAGACTGGCATCCACTGATGGGGTCACTCAAGGCCTACTCAATGTGTGTGGGGGAGGTGAGGGGTCATGACACATGATGGCCGCTGGAAGCCAGCCCACATCAGAGAGGGACCAGTACTGGGGGGTAGATTAGTCACAGATGGAATCCACAGAGACACTATCCAGCTGTTCCAACTGCCCCTCCTGAAGCATGTAATCCTAGCTACCCTAGCTACTCAGGAGGTTGGGCTCTGAGAATCACAGGTGAAACCATCTCTGAGATTCTTATCTCCAACTAACCACCAGAAAGCTACAAGGGGCTGTGGCTCAGTGGCAGAGCACTAGCTTTGAGCACAAAAGCACAAGGACAGGGCCCAAGTATAGGTGCAAATAATTAAGCCATTGCCGAGCAAATCTCTTTACAACTGAAAGTTTTAAGTGAGCCTTTGTTGTTGTTGTTTTAAAGTTATATTTAAACTTTAAGTAAGTGCTTAGGCAGTTTTACTATTATGATCTTCCAAACTGTTTAACCGTTTGCTGTTTCTAACATCCATGAGGAAACTTCTGGATATTAATTTCCTTTCACTGCCAGGCTGATATTGCTCTAATAATTGATGCCAAAGTCCAGGGAAATTTGTCTGGGGACATTCTACACGGAGTGGACGTCTTGCCGATGATGACAACAGTAACAGAATGCGTATGAGAACAGGTAACTTACATTAACTAGGAGCAGCAGCAGGGGACAGTTTCACTTTCAAGTCTCTTTACCTAATTTTCTAAAGAATC